GACTTTGTTTCGATATGCATGTCATGCATCAGAAAAGACATCTAGATTTTTGTATTTATATAGAATTATTGGAAAAACCATAAGAAATAATATTACTCTTAATCACCATCCATATTAATCAATCATGTCGTTTATTAATTGCTTTCTTTGAATAAATAAATAAGTAAACGTAGGAAAATTTGGTACTCTCAACTCTCAAGTAATTAAGAAGCCTTGACTTGCACGAATTGTCCGACTCAAACATACTCTGTCGCTACCCTACAAAAGTATGGTTGGTTAAATATGTTATAAAATGAATTATTACGATCTAAAACAACAGTAACTAATTAGTTGTGTATTATTTGAAAAAATTATAATTTAGATCACTAAAATAACAAGATTTAGAGAAGCATGATCATGTGATGTTGAATGTGTACACGCATGCATGCATGCATACATACATACATACATACATAAATGTACATAACCAAATTTCTTATTAGACGAAACGTTAAACAGACACAAGATACAGGAGCCATGTATGTAGATTAGAATGGATAGTGAGAGCTCTTTGTGATGTCATTTTTGAAAAGGATATTATTCTAAAGCAGACAAATAAACTTGCTTGTATGTATATTTGTGATTGGTCAATGGTCATGGTTTTCAAGGATCTTGAAAACGAACATGATGCATTTGACAGGGAGTTGAAAGGGAGTGAATTGTAGTATTCTTGATTGTGTAGACACTTAGAAGATTCCAACTGATTCCAAGTTAAAATCCCGAATCATTAAACTAATGAAAGATTCATCAAACGTACAAGCGTTATAACTACGTGAGCAATTGGCCCCATGAAAAGGAAATAGAGTGTATCATCTTCTTTTAGATGTTAATTATGGTTATCATAAATACGTCCCTTGGTCTACTTTTATATGGTGTTTGAAAATATGTTCTCTTATGTTTGAATGTTCAAGTTTCAATTTGACAGGGAGTTGAAAGGGAATGATCAATTGTAGTATTCTTGATTGTGTAGACACTTACAAGATTCAACTGATTCCAAGTTAAAATCTGGAATCGTTAGACTAATGAGAGATTCATCAAATGTACAAGCGTATAACTACGTGTATTGGCCCCATGAAAAGGAAATAGAGTGTATCATATTCTTTTGGATGTTAATTATGGTTATCATAAATACGTCCCTTGGTCTACTTTTATATATATATATAATATATATATATATATATATATATATATTATATATATATATATATATATATATATATATATATATATATATATATATATAACTGGCAAATATATTAAAAAGTTACCACTAGCAAGTAACTAGAGGTAACTAAGAGTACAAGGTCAGAAAAATAGAAAATATTTACAAGCAATTAAAGGGAGAAGAAATCCAAGACTTCCAATTTAAACTTCCTTTTTATGATCTATGTTTCAATCAAATAAAAACCATAGATTTTACTATATCAACAATAGCCGTCGGCGAAGTTTTGACTCAGTTATATACCAATTCATTACAGGCTCTCCAAATGCACCAAAAATGATACTACATAGCACCTTTTGCTTCTTACGATTTTTTCCTTGTTCACATGCGAATGTCACGATCTCCATCACGGACTTGAAACGTTGAATTGCCAGGCCACACCAATTGAGAATCGTATTGATCACTTGTTCTGCCATCAGGCATGAGACGAGTAAGTGATTCGAGCATTCCATATTATTACCACATGTCGGACAGTTTAGTGAATTAATATGAACACCCCTTTTGATTAACTCCAAAGCACTCGAGATCTTTCCCAGCCTTGCACGCCACACAAAACACAACACGTTGAACGGAATCAATTTGACCATGAGAACACACAATCACAAACAAAGTGGGGGCGTGCTCAATCTTTTTCCGCGGTTCAGCCACCACAAAGGATTTATCTGCAAAATCAGACTCCCAGCAAGTATTTAATACGTTCCATCTGATGATTTACGAAGGTATTATACTTAGTTTGCCCAATTCTTGAATGCTTTTTGAGATATTCCACCACAAACCATTTAATGCTTTATTCGATATACTTTCTGGACAATTTTGATTTAACTTGTGGAGCCTGCTAATCACCTGGGCCCATAGTGAATTTTGGTATGTCTTAAGTCTCCAAATCCATTTTTCCATCAAAGATAAGTTGAGGGCTCTAATAGAGCCTAAACCTAGTCCACCAACATCTCTTGGGGCAAGGATTTTTTCCCATTGAATCCAGTGATACTTCTATTATTTTGAGAACCTTGCCATATGAAGCAACTCCTTATTTTATCCATTTCTTCCACAACCCCGATTGGAGCCAAGAATATTGAGAGAAAGATGTTTGGTAGATTGTCGAGCACCGATTTTGCCAATTTTATATGGCCACCAAAGCTTAAAATCTTAGCTTTCCACAAGGAAAGTTTAGATTTTATTTTGTCGATTATCGGTTTCCATGATCTCTTGAGGTTCATATTGGCTTCCACAGGAACCCAAAGACATGTGAATGGTAAGGAAGCCGACTCACAGCCAAGAGGGAGAGCCCAACTTTCCACCTCATTGGTATTTGCACCCACACCAAATACCCGAGATTTATCAAAATTTACTTTGAGACTAGATGCCACATGGAAGCATCTAAGGATTCTAGCAAGGTTTGCTATCTTTCTCATTGACCATTCATCCAAGAACAAGGCATCATCCACATAAAATAAATGAGAAACAACCCTATTTGTGTTAGGAATCAATATACCTTCGAATATTCCTTTTGATATCACATACTTCATTACAATGTTGAGCCCCTCCATTGCAATATTGAACAAATATGGGGATAATGGATCATCTTGCCTCAATCCTTTAGACATTTGGGAACTCTGGGGTGGGACTACCATTGACAATAACTGAGGCTCTTGCGGATTCCAAACAACCACTATTTTATCCCCTCCATTTTTTCCCAAATATGATTTGTTCCATAATCGAGTCAAGATAGTCCCAATTGACGAAGTCAAATGACTTATTGAAATCCACCTTGAATAATAGCATTTGTTTACCACTTTTCTTCACCCAAGTGCATAACTCGTTTACGATTAGCGGGCCTTCAAAAATGTTTCTTCCTTCGATAAAGACAGATTGTCCCTCCCCAATGCAACTACCAATAACACTTTTGATTCGGGTTACAAGGATTCTCTCAATGATTGTGTACATCGATCCGATTAGGCTAATTGGCCTATAATCAGAGAAGCTTAATGGATCTTTAACCTTGGTCGCAAATAAAATAAACGAGGAGTTGATTCCCCTTGAGAACTTACCACACCTTTCAAAATGTTTTACAAATGCAAAAATATCTTCTTTTAGCACCAGCCAATATTTTTTCAAGAACTTGAAAGTAAATCCATCAGGCCCGGGAGCCAGATCATCACCACAAGCCCATATTGCCAACATTATGTCCCCCAAATTAATTTCAGCTTCCAACATTTCTTTATTCAAGTTTTGCAGCCAGCCTAGCATCAGGTGCTTTTTTTTTTGCAAACATAATCGAATTTGATTCCTTGGGGAATTCACTAATACACTATTTCTTAATTCCTTATTTAATGCATTTCAGTTTTGCAGCCAGCCTAGCATCAGGTGCCCATAGCCACGAAATTGAGAACAACATTGATGCACAATCTGGTCAAAACTTTCATGCATAAGCCATGAGTTAAACTTTTTTAAAGGCCTAGGGCCATAGTCTAGGAACGAGGTTCGAAGGAGGATCGGGCACTGGTCCGAGAACTCATGAGGTAGTGCAGTCACGGAAGCACAAGGGAACATATTAACAAATTTTGAACATACCAAGCATCTATTAAGGTTACTTAGCTTTACCCCTTCTTGATGGAAGTATGTAAATTTGTGCCCACCCATGCAAAGATCATGACGTTATGCTTCAATAATGAACTGATTAAAAGTATGAGCTGGAGAAGCACATAAACGAGAATTTATTCTTTTTTCCTGATGTCTGATCACATTAAAGTCACCGAGTAAAATCCACATAGCATTCATGTTACTTTTGCTGTGAAGTAATTCTTCCCATACTTTTGCCTTTTCAATAGGGGACTTTGGACTATATACATTTACCACAACAACCACCCCCATCGACTCCAGAACATTCACCAAAAAACACTAGGAATTGTTTTCATTTTATGACCTCCAATACCTTGTAGAAATTTGCATCCTAGATTGAGAGAATTCCCCCAGACCTACCTTCAACGTTAATCCAGTCACATGCAAAACTATTGTTCCCCTAACATTTCCTGAAATTAATTGAAGAGGAATCCCATAACTGAGTTTCTTGAATGCCTACAATATTCACTTTATTTTCCTTCGTGGCCCTTTGTATCCATTCCAGTTTTGAGTCTTTACCCATACCTCTAGAGTTTATTGATAGCAGATTCATTAGGGAACTGTTGTCTCACCATTAACACCCAGGTCTTCCAGCAGGATCGCATTGCTCTTGTCAATTTCAATCCTAATTAGGTTCCCAACTTCAATTGTTCGACTGATTTCATCCTCGTTAGTCATACCCCCAATCAATTCCTCAGTCCCCACCTGCGAAGAGCAGGGAGTAGCGGTTCTATTGAGGTCAAGTGATGGCGCCTTCACCTCACAGTCGTGGTTTGGGAAGATAAATTGGTTTTGATCTAAGTTGGAAGTATCTCTGGATGGACTAACCCTTGGACGCTTTCTTTTATTTCCATATTGACTCCTCAATCACAACAGACTTTGAACTAGTCATTTTTCTAGGCTTGGATGCATGTCTTGTTATATTTAGGCCCGAGTGAACACCTGATTTCAATTGGAACGACCCAATTTCTTCCAAAGGCAAGTTCAAGATTGATCCATTTTGACCAGTCGTTTGGTGGAAACTTCCCGGATTTACCGAGTTTACTGGAGCATTAATTCCTTCTCCTGGGAATTCACTTTGTGACTTTTGCAATTCTCGATGAGAATCATCACCATGCCTTTATGGCAACACCGGTGGCCGAAGATGATTTTTCGGTGATTGTATAACAAATTTTGCAACTATTCTCGTCTCTATATCCATTCCTATTTCTCTTTCTTCCAAAACATCGTCTTCATTCTGATTATCTGTCTTAGGAACACCCAGGTGGTCTTCCTCGTCGGATTCAGGTAGGTCGTCCAACCAATTATCCTCTGAGGTCTGCTTCTTGAAAGGACTCCATGATTCGTTCATTTCAATGATCCCAATTTTGACCATACGATCGCCACCCGGGATAGCAATTTCTTTATTTACTTTCTTCAAGGATTTTGTCATAATGCATACTTTCGCCATTGAGAAGTCCCTGAATGCTGAAAAGAACTCGAATGGGATAACCACCTCCCCAAACTGACTTCCAATGTTATTGATGTTACTCTCATCCCATAGATCGAATGGTAACCCCACAATTTTGACCCATATTATCCGTTCGAATTCAATGTTGACATTTACAACATTGTCCACCCATGCAAACCATTCACCCTATAGACTTCTGTCATTTAGGAATCTGTTAACATCTTCTGGACACTTGAATCTTAGACCCATGTTTAATCCCCCCAAGTATGTCACCTTTACAGAATCATCATCTCCCAAGTTAACAGTAGAGGGTATAATGTTTAGGTGTTTTGCATTGTGTGCTTTCCCAATTAGAGATAGCTCATTATTCTTCCATTGTTTCATCATGACCTCAGTGTTAATGGATATTTGGTGCAGTAGGCATTTTGAACCACCATTCCTAGCTAGCACCCCAGTAAATGTTCTATTGTCTCGAAATCCCCCATGATGCCAATAAGGTCTAGGATGAGGAGGAGGATGACATACCCTTGAATTAAGGACTATGGATTTGGGATCTTTCCTGTCGAACTTTGCTTTGTTAATTATCAAGGTTATGTTCTTGAATCTTATTCCTTTAAGCGACTCTTCAATTCTTCTTTCATCAGCAATACCTACAAATCTAACGAAAGCAAAATTCTGACGGCTAGAGTCTTTTTTCGTCACCATGTATATATCTTTCACATCACCATGGATCTGAAACATCCATTCAATCTCCACTTTTGAAGATCCATGTAACACCTATAAATTCAAGCCAATTTAAAACTTTTTAAAACATTTAAAACCATTAAGTTAGTACAATTTGTTTTCAAAATAGTTTAAGCATCAGAGTATCTCCAGAATCAAACGTGTAACAACCCAAAAATTTACCAAGAATTTAAACTTTTCAAAACCAATCTGAGTAATAAAAAATTATTCAAACATCAACATAGTTCACAAATTGCTTTCAAAATGATTTCATATCAGAGTTCCCAGAAACCCCAAATCATAAAAGGTGAGGAAGTGTACGTCACGCCATTGCCTTACCATGGTCACCTGAAGTACCTAAAACAAAATCGATAAATGTAAGATCGAAGGCTTAGTGAGTTACCCCTAAAATACCAACATATACCATCCATAAGAATAATAACAAACAACATGTATAATGAGCCTTCAACATGTTTGGACCGCCTCGCAGTGCCTACAGCCTATCCGGATGGCCCCGAGTATATTGGCCTACAACACGAAGCAGGATCGTTTCAATCCAACCCCCCAAACAAACAATCATGTGCACATGTATAACATACAAACAATAGCATGCATATAACAGTCAAATCGATCTAACATATCACAAGCATATCAATGAGCCTATAACCAGGATACCGACCTAACAGGTCGCTAACATAGCATCATCCTAAATACTAGGAACACCGACCTAACCAGATCACTGAGTATAGAACATCATCATCCTAACTACCAGGATGAAAATCAGTAGGCATATCATATAATAATCTGAATACAATCCCTAAAGGGATGGCCTTGGTGCCATAGATCCTATTGATATAGTGAGGATAACTCACCTCAAAATGATGAAGTCCCGTAGACACAATCCCAACTGCTGGATGACAGATTCCCGAACTATCAATATCAAAACATCACCCAATTAATAATTGGGTCCCAACACATAGCCACAAGTTCTTGGAGTAACAGGCTACATTACGCCATCTTGGCTTGATTCAAGCCCAAGGCACAATCCAAAGACCTAAAAGTCAATCAAAGGCCCAATTACTTAGTCATGTCCAAACATATGGCCCAATTTTCCAAATTGGGCCCAAACCTTTACATGGTCATAATCAAAAATTGGGCCCAAACCTTTACATGGTCATAATCAAAGGCCCAACTACTTAGTCATGTCCAAACATTTGGCATTTACAATGGCCTAATATCATATAATCATCAAGGCGCAAACTATGGGCCATCCGCGACCCAATTTTCCAAATTAGGCCCATACCCTCATATGGGCCTTACCCTAAGCCCATCAATATATTATAGTCCATATGATTATTCTTGGATGGACCATTAATAATCCAATTACCAAAGCCTAATAGAAAGGCCCAACTCAAGGCCCAAGTGAAATTAAGGTTTTCACAGGAAGTGACCGTTAGGTTTAAGTGTTCCTACTTAACCCATTAAGGACTTAATCCGTTAAGTCCATTATTGTCTTAGGTTAATTTGCCAATGATTTTAATTTACTATTGTAAGTTTATTAATTAATTATGATGCGGTCCCGATAAATCCTAATATTAGGGTTTCATGGCATTAGGGTTTTCCAAACCATAATTAGGGTTTTCCAAACCCTAATTAGGGTTTCCAACCCAATACTTGCCCATTAATCAAATGGTTGGGCTTTGAGGTCCATTAGGGCTTCATTGGGCCCACTAAGGCCTCATTGGGTCCACTTTGTCCAAACATCCCAAACGAGTCCAAAATGCAACGAGGCACACCGCACCCAACACGACGGCCGGTGGCAGCAAGAGGCAACGGCCACCACCCTACGGTGGTGGTTTGAGCTTTTCTTATAATTATTCCTACTTTATTACAGTTTTACAATGAAATATCAATAACACACACACTAAGCTACATACACACAACAATAAAATTACACACACACACAACCATCCTTGTGGTGGCCGATGATGGTATATGGTGGCACCCACCACCTCATGGTAGTGGTTGTGGCCCACTTTTGATTTCGGATACACAACCCACCCACTTAACGCAAGACAACAACAATACACACACACACACCTAAATTACATAGCAACACACACGCACACACACCTTCCACGGTGGCTATCGCGACGAGACAATGGCAACAGGCGGTGGCTTGGTCTATAACGGAAACGGCAGCGGTGGTCGGCCCCGGAAACACAACAACAACGATGAAAACAACAACGGTCACTTGGAGTAGCGGCAACGACAGTAATTGGTGGTATCACTCGACATCAGTAGCAGCAACTACTAGACGGGAAGGAGACGAGGTAGTCGGGGAAGGGCGTTAGCCATAACAGTCGCTCGAAACGACGACGCCAGCGACCGCAGTTGCAGAAGAAGACGGAGAAGAGCGCTTCAACAACACTAGCTAATGGAGCAATGGTGTTCGCTGGCCCCCGACGGTTCATAGCTTCGATGTATCGGACAACGGTGGCAATGCACAACTCCACTGAAGGCCCACGACATTGATTATGGGGTGGCTATGGCGACTATTGATTGGAGAGGTGACAGCGTCGGAGAATGGAGGAGAGGAAGAGGTGGCGGATAGAGGGTGAAGAAGAAGTGGGGGATGACAGCTGCACATATCGCTCCTAGGATTAGGGTTACGGGACCATTAAATACCCACTTCATTTAAAAGTTTGCCATAATGGCAACTATAGTCCCTCCGCATAATATCTTTTTTCAGTCATAGCCCATAATTTACCTTTTCAACCCTGCCCTCTGAAATTCTTTTCAAATCAAACCTGAAACTTACACTTTATCCCCTAACCCCATATAATATTCTCACTTTAATCCAATATTTTCCCAACAGTCCCCATCTTTGAAAATCCCTTCATAATAAGCCCATAATTTACTAGACATCCTTCAACCTTCAAAATACTTTACAAACTAACCCGGAAATTACATTTTTAATCCCCAAAACTCTCAATTATAACTTTTAACCCCTGGAGATTCAAAGCTTGCCATTTGGCTTCCCGAAACCAACTCCCAGCTAATTGTTATTCGATTTTAGGCTATAATAACATATAATAATAATACAAATTACTTCTTAAGTTACCGACTTATTATTTAATTATTATATTCTAAATGGGATGTTACAATCCATCTGGAATGTTTGTGACAAACATTGTCGTAACTTCATCACCATCCCATCTTCTGTTATAGTCAATCTGATTAGGCTATTTCTGTCTCCGGTGGCCTTCCGTCCAAGTGCCTCTTGGTCTACTTTTATATGGTGTTTGAAAATATGCTCTCTTATGTTTGAATGTTCAAGTTACATGGTAGCCATAACCACACTTTTATAAAAGACACGACAAAATGACAACCAATTGCATAAATAGTGACTGTGAATTCATGGTTGCGAATTCAAGGTCTTATGTTCCTATAACACCGCCTTTAAAAAAAAGAGTATGTAATACTTGTATTCTCCTTCAACGGTAAGACGATAAAACTGTGAATAGATCGCAAATAATCGACGATAGGTGTTTGTTGAGAGTCACATCACAAAAAGTAAGTATCACATTTTAGAATAAAATGTCTCTATTAAAAGAAACAAATAACTAGTGTTCATAATGTGTTTACTTCATAATGAAGCTCACAAATTTATTATTCCTTCACAAGATTCTATAAATTTTGTATTTTTTTTATCTAAGCGAAAAACCATTGTTCGTATTACGATTTGGTCTAAAACAAGCCCACAAATAGTTAAAAAATAGTATGAGGCAACACATTATAGAATTAGGTAATCATGTTATAGAAACATATATAATATCCAGGAGTAATATAGGAAAGTGTACTAGGAAAGTGTACGTATGTTTATTCTAAGAATGTTTTTTATTCTTTCGTATAAAATGATTACTTTCATATTTCAAATAAGACAATTTCTACTAGCCGTATGTTTTGCGATAACAATAAACAAGAGTTAACGACTATCGTTATCGAATGTTGGTTTGTTTTTAGACAACTATTATTCATTCATGAGCAGTTGTATGTTGCATTGTCTAGAGTTAAAATCATATATAGATTAAAAATATTAATTTTAGACAATGATGATAAACTTACAAATAAGACATCTAATGACGTATTCAAAGAAGTCTTTGGAAATTTGTGATTCAACTTATCTATTTAAAATATGTCATTAGTTTTTTATTAGTATACATTAAATTACTTTTTATTATCATTTCTTTTGTATTTATCTTTTAACTTTACTTCAAAAAAATATTTAATATTTATATCTTGATATTTAACTTTTGTTTTAATCAACTTATGTTTGATACGGATCTCACACCTAGTAATCAACTTATACAAGTACCATAAAGGGTAATAAGAAGAAATAACATTGTTGAGAGCGTTGACTCAAATTAAATCGATTTAACCATTTTTGAATGGGTTATGATCATTAGAGTTAGTGTTGAACAACCTTGAACTACAACAATCTAGTATGTCATCTTTGACACCACAATCTTTAAAATTATGAATATGGTTTTTCAGTGTAACTTGTACTCATACTTGAGCCATTATGTTTGAGGTATTACATCGGTCTGCAAGTTCTTATTATTGAGTGTGTTCTTTTTAAGAACAAATCGAAGTAAAATAATTTATTTGGTTGACATTACAATAAGAAAAAGTTTAATTTTTTGTATTTTACATATTTACTCCTTTATAAATTTAATCACGCTCTTGTTATCAAGTATTGATAGGTTATAAAACCAACTGCAACTCGTGCAACTCTTAGATCTTAATGGGATTGTGGATTGACTATATGTCATAAGTTTAGTCTCAGCATCATCCCCTTGATTAGGCCTCACCAAAGTGATAGTTATATCGTCCCATTTCAAACATGTGAACTTCACAGTTAAGTTTATTTCACATTGCAGTTATGATTAAGGTTTGACCAAGAAGCAAAATAGACCTACAAGTTGTTCCACTTTTATAATGATAATATTTAAATTTAATTTATTTTGAAGAAAAAAAATATTGTTATCAACAAAACTTAGTTTTACAAATAAATTGCATGAATACAATATACTTTTTAACAATATTAAATTATTTTTTATAAAATAAAATTTCTAAAATTTAGATTTGAGTTTGATTTAAAACGATTTTAAATAAACTTTTTTTTTTCAACCAAACAAAATAACAACCAAAAACCACATATTTAAATATATAACAATTAATAAAAAAAAATACATTAACCAAGCACGATCCTAAATAGTTATTTCTTCAGCTATTAAGAAATAGTTAAATTGTAACATATGTTTCCTCAAGTAGGATTTCTATATCAAATTTATTCCTTTTATGCATTTTGGGTGCCTTTACGCATGGCGTAGGATAGCCTCCTAGGCAAGGTGTAGGTCACTAAGTCCATGCGAGGGTTTTATGTTCTATATAGGGCATAGAAATACCTGCATAGGGCGTAGGAGCGCAGGGCTAAAACCCTAATTGAGGGGTTGTGAGCTCTATTTAAAGGCTCTAATCCCTTGAGAGCCTTCCTATACTCAACCTCCACTGTCATTTTCAGTAACTTTGAAACCCTAGCCATCTTGTGAGGATTTTGAAGCATTTGTGGGTTCTTTTGTGTGATTTATGAAGTAGTCCATAGAGGAAGTTCTAAGGAGTCTATAGCTTGTAGATCCAGACTTTGCACTTCATCAACCTTCTACAGGAGGTATAAAGCTTGCATCTTGATGATTCAATTTGATAAATCTAATTAGTTTATGGGTTTTATGTGCTTTTGTCCCTTAACCTTAGGCTTAATGAGTATGAGCTACTCCAGACCTCGTGAGTTTCATTTCTAATCTTGTTGAGTCATAAAAATGGGAACTTGGTCACTATAATTCATCCATGCATGAGCTCTTGAGCATTAGAGTGTGTTTTGGACTTAGGGTTAGGTCTTATGCTCCATTAGGACATGCAAGGGTGTAAAGTCAAATACTTTATCACTTAGGATGTTTATTAGGTTCATATATGAGAATTGGATGGTTGGTCTTTATGTATTAAGATCTTAATGAAAAGTTGGCAAATAGCGCTATTACGTAGAGCGTAATCTGGGCTACGTATGGCATATCCTAAATTGTCCCCGATTACCATCAAAGGCTCTACATTAGGCGTAGAGCATAGCATTGCACGGGTTGTAGCACCAAAAAGGGGGTTTTGGGAGCAAAATGGATCAATGGTCAAGTGGAGTGGGCTTTAGTCTTGGAATGGTAAAATGGTATTTTACCGAGAGAGAGAGAGAGAGAGAGAGTGTGTGTGTGTGTGTGTGTGTGTCTGTGTGTTTGTGTATGTATGTGTATGTGTGTGATTATGGGCTAAGACCCTTGAGTATGAATTATTATATTAATTTCTAATTAGAGTCTCATTGTATATTCATTAGTGTTGGGAGTTTTAGTTTCGGTAGCTTGAGTGTGAGATTGTTTACCTATAGATTGAGGTGGGTCTTCTCACTGTACTTGTGGGTCGAAGGCACCAATTCCAACTCACTTGATTGTGTTATGTAAAATGCTAGTTGTCTTTGTGACTCTTGCATGTGTATGTTGGGATGGGCCCATTTATTCGTATGTTGGGTTGGGTCCATTTATTCGTATGTTGGGTTGGGCACATTTATTCATATGTTGGGTTGGGCCCATTTATATGTATGGTGGGTTGGGCCTATTTTCATTTGGGTTGGGACTATTTATATGTATGTTGAGTGCATCTACCGATATTATTCTTAAGTGCATCTGATAGTATTATGACATTCTCTAATTGGTGCATCTGCCAATATCATTCTTAATCATCTTTCATACCTCATCATTTTATCACATACCAACTATCTCATCTACCCATGTTTTACCAACATATTTGTAGAAATAAAATACATATACAGTTTAACTCATTTAAAACCTATATAAAACTTCAATTCCATACCTATCTCAAATAGACAAATAATATATAAACACATAGCACATATTTCAAAGCAAATACTTCATATTTATGTGTTAGAAGAAAGTAACTACACACTCACCCGAACATACACTTAATACATTTAAACAATACTTGTATTATGCTCGTGTTTATGAAAGGGACTATACAGTCACTTGATCATAAGATGATCGGACAACACTACAGCTTATAAAAGTAGTATTCTTCGGTAGATCTGGAAGATCTTCACAAAAATTGGCTTCTCACAGGCAGAGCTTCGGCTCGAAAACTTTACTCCTCGGGATCGTCGGGGCTTCGGGACTTGCTTTAGGGCTCGGGAATGATACTGGGGCTTCGGTGGGTTAAAGGCTTAGAGAGAGTATCGGGAGTGGGAGAGATGATAAGGAGCAACCAAAATCGGTTGATCCTTGATTTCTATTTATAGGGTCAATTTTCTGGGTTCACCTCGTAAGTTTCTAATTAGGGGTTTAAACGAGCCGAGCCG